GGACTCTAGAGTTTTCTCTAGACCTTGAAACTTTCCTGACTAAACAGTGGCAGGAGTGACCCATTGAAGTTTGAGGATACACCCTGGCAGCCTCTTAGTGATGAAAAGAACACCAAATCTGACCCGAGTTCAAATCCCAACTCTTCTGCTCACCACCTATGCAACCCTTGGGCAAGTCATTTCCCCTTTGTTAGCCTCAGTGAAGGGGTTGAGCCAGATCCCTCAGGTCCTATCTGAGTTTAAACCTCTGATTTTCAGTTCCTTTTCTCCCCACAGACATAATCATGGCTTTGGATGTTTTCCGGAAGGGTCGGCTCTTCACCAGCTGTGCCAAGGTGAGGACTGCCCTGTGGAGCTAGGGAGATGGGGAGGAAGGAGATAGACACTGTCTTTCCATATTAACCGCTCTTCACTTCTTCCACTTCCCATGTCCCAGGACCAGAGTGTGCGCGTATGGAGAATGAATGTGTCTGGGAAAGTGCATTGCATAGCCCATGGCTCTGGCCACACGCATGGTATAGGCACCATCAGCTGCTCCAGGTACTGCAGTTGAGCCCCAGGACCCACTTCCATCAGGCCCAGAGAGTGAAGCCAAGCTCATGCTGAGTGTGAACTGCCCCTGCCTTCTCTCCCTCCTCATGTTCAGGGAGTTCCCAGTCTGAAAAGAGGCTCTCCCGGGGCCTTTCCTTTGGAAGCTCATGGTTTGAGGAGACAGAAGCAGCAAGCAGACACTGCCCCTGCCCTCCAGGAGCCCACTGCCTTTAGGGAGACAGAACTTAGACACAGGAAAATGAGAAAACAGGGCAAGGTGGGCTGTGCACAAGGTCTGGGAATGTGTGACTCAGCCTTGGTACTCTCAGACTCGAGAGTAAAGCTATTGTGGCCTGGTGCAGTCAGGGAAGACTTCCCGGGAGCAGTGAGGGTAGAGAGTGCTTGGTGCTGGGTTTGGAAAGACAGCTAGATAAAGAGGGAGGGCATAAAGAAGTGTAGAGCCAGGAAAATGCAACCGTGTTCAGAAATAGTGAGTTGTCCAACTTGGCTAGAATGCAGGAATTTGAAGCAGGGCTTCAAATGAAAAGAGATGGGTTGACTAAGCACTAGATAGCTAAGCCAGGACTCTGGAAGACCTGAATTCAAATCTTGCCTCAGGCACTTAGTAACTTTGTGATCTTGATCAAGTCATTTAACCTCTATCCTACCTTAGTGCCGTCATCTGTAAAATAGGGATAAGAATAGCACCTATGTGCCAGGATTGTTGTGAGGCTAAAATGAGATAGTATTTGTAAAATACTTTCTAAATCTTAAAGCACTATGTGAAGGCTAACCATTATTGTTATCCTTTAAAGAATAGGGAACCACTCCCATCAGAGCAGTATAGGACAGCCTAAAGGCAGGCGCATGACTTAGGAGCCTGGTACAGTAGTTCTGGGGTGACAACATGTGACCTGGGTCAGGGTCCTGGCTATAGAAATGGAGAGTAGGCTACAGAGGCACAGGATGTGATGAATTCTGCATCTGTTTCTTCTGGTATCAGGCTGAAGGAGGCCTTCCTGGTGACTGGGAGCCAGGACTGTACAATAAAGCTGTGGCCCCTTCCCGAGGCAGTGACATCCAAGAAAATGACCCGAGACCCCAACTGTGACCCTGTTCCCCTCCAGGCTCAGGCCACCCAGCGGGCACATGACAAGGTAACACCAGGACAGGAGGCTGTCCTCTGGAGAGTGGGAGGAGCCACGATCACTACCCTTGCCCCAATCACAGCTTCCCTTCTCCCCTCTCTAGGACATTAACAGTGTGGCTGTATCCCCAAACGACAAGCTGTTAGCATCAGGTTCCCAGGACCGAACGGCCAAGCTGTGGTCCCTGCCTGACTTCTCCCTGCTGGGTGTCTTCTCTGGCCACCGGCGAGGTGTGTGGTGTGTTCAGTTCTCCCCCACGGACCAGGTGCTAGCCACAGCCTCAGCTGATGGCTCCCTGAAGCTCTGGGGTCTGCAGGACTTCAGTTGCCTGAAGGTAATGCTGCTTATCCCAGCTCCTCAGGCATCCAGAGTGAGTAAGGCTGGGCCTCTGCCCTTACTCTGCCCCATGTCTCACTCCCTTTTTCTCATCCCCAGACGTTTGAGGGTCATGATGCGTCGGTGCTGAGAGTGACCTTTGTGAGCCGGGGGACACAGTTGCTGTCCAGGTCAGTCAGGGCTGGGGGCCGGGGCAGGGGTCGTGGTCGGGAGGTCTGACCTGGGGCTCTGAGGCTGCTTCCTCGGTCACTGCAGTGGCTCCGACGGACTGCTCAAACTGTGGACCATCAAGAGCAATGAATGTGTGCGGACGCTGGATGGGCATGAGGACAAGGTGTGGGGGCTACACTGCAACCGGCTGGATGGCGCAGCTGTGACCGGAGCCAGCGATGCCCGGATTCTCCTCTGGAAGGTGGGTGGGCCTAGCCTCCGGGGGGGGGGGTGGCTCTTCTAGGCCTCTCCTGCCCTGGGCTGAGTGACTCTGTTTCTAGGATGTGACCGAGGAAGAGCAGGCAGAAGAGCAGGCCCAGCAGGAGGAACAAATCCTGAAGTAAGTCGCAGGGATAACACCTGCAGCACCCCTGCCCCCGCCCCAGCCCATCCCAGAGCCTTCCTGGCCTCTCGTCCCCTCAGTCCCCCACACCCTGCCCCTCACCCAGCACCCCACTGACTCTCCACCTCCCCCCAGGCAGCAGGAACTCTCTAACCTGCTCCAGGAGAAGCAGTACCTTCGGGCCCTGGGTCTGGCTATCTCCCTGGATAGGCCGCACACTGTGTTGATAGTTGTCAAAGGTCAGTGACTTCAAAGGGCCCGAAGTACCAGAAGGGAAGGGAGGGAATTGCTTGGGGAGTGATTGAGATTGAAGTGGATGTAAATCCCCCGCTTTCTTCTCTTTTGCCGGACTCACCCTCCCTGTCCCACATAGCCATCTTGAAGGATGTCGAAGGTCCTAAGAAGCTGGAGGAAAAGGTGCTAAGGCTCCGGAGGGACCAAAAAGGTCAGTGCCCAGCAGGACCTTTGGGAGGGTATGGAGGGAGGGAGCCTTTGCTGGTCCCTAACTTCTTCCCTGGCCTATTCCCAGAGGCCCTGTTGAGATTCTCAGTCACATGGAACACAAATTCCCGCCATTGCCACGAAGCCCAAGCTGTGCTGGGCGTCCTGCTACGGCATGAGAGCCCCGAAGAGCTGCTGGCCTATGAGGGAGTCCGGGCTGCCCTAGAGGCACTGCTGCCCTACACCGGTGAGTGACGCTGGACCCTGTACTAGAAAATGACCTCTGCAGGAAGGGAGGCGCTCAGTCTGGAGCCTGGCGGTGGCTGAAGTGGGGGCAGAATCTTCCCTCGTCTCTTCCTTCACCTGCCTTCCTCTCTCCTCAGAGAGACACTTCCAGAGGGTCAGCCGGATGCTGCAGGCTGCCATGTTCTTGGACTTCCTGTGGCAGACTATGAAACTGCCTGAGACCTCAGCCTCCCCAGCCCTGCAGCCTTTGTAACAACGTTCTGTATAAAAGTTTGTCAGACCTCACAGCATTTCTTTGTCTGGGACTTGACCCTCCCTTGCCTGATCAAAGGGGTCAGCTTTCACGGACCTTCCCAAGTACATCCACAGGATTCATGCCTCAGATGCCCCTGAAACATGAGCCACCCTGAGCCCAGTAGGTGGTGTGGTGGAGGAATGTGTGTCTGCTTGTTTATTTTCTTCATTTCCTGAATCCCACTCTGGACCCAAGCCATGCTTTGGCAGGGAGATAAAGGAGCAGACCTGGGCTCTGCCCCAACTGAGTTCACAGCTGGGGAGAAGAGAGTGTGACAGTGGATAGGTCATTGTATTTGGAGTCAGAGTATTTCCTGTGTGACCTTAAATGAGTAAACCTCTCTGTGCCTTTTTTTTTTTTAAACAAATGAGGAAGTTAGACCAGATGACTTCTGCATTAAATCTGTGATCCAGACCCTTCCCTCAGGGAGTGCGTACTCTGGGTGTTATATGGGACGTAAAGCCAGACTGGGAAACCTGCCTGAGTGTTCCAGGAGCTCAGGGAGAGGCATAGATCATGGCCATAAAAAACCATTTAGGGGCAGCTAGGTGGCGCAGTGGATAGAGCACCGGCCCTGAAGTCAGGAGGACCTGAGTTCAAATGCGGCCTCAGACCAAACACTTGACACTTAACTAGCTGTGTGACCCTGGGCAAGTCGCTTAACCCCAACTGCCTAAAAAAAAAAAAACCACCACATTTAATACAGGCCTCTCATTTTCTGAGAGAACTCAGGCCCAGGGAGACAAGTGACTTGATTAGAGGTTATAAGGGCAGAAGGTGGCAGAGTAGAATTTGAACTTGGGTCTTTTTTTTTTTTTTTTACAGAGGAAGTGAGTGGACCACATGTGTCATACATGGGGCAGAAACATAAGGTTGGGGCCAGGAACCTTCACTTTGGAGGTGAGGAAGGGAAAAAGCAGGCAGCTCCTGAAAAGGATCCTTTATTCATGCGAACAAAAATTTTTTTTAAGCAAAACCATTGAGGACTCAGTCCCACAGGGACGAGGCCCTCTAACACAAAGCTAGAGGGCAGGACTTCAGAACCTGGCATCCAAAGAATTTATCAGGGAGTCCAGGCCAGGCAGTTTGGAGGAATGAGGAGAAGAGGGGCAGGCTAGGAGTGGCTTGTCCGAGGGTGGGACGGGTGCAGGGATCTCTAGCCCAGAATCCGAAGTGGGCCCTGGAGACCTCCGTGTCTCTGGACGAAAAAGTGCCTTGCGGGTCACTGAGCAGCAGCTCCGCGGGATGTCCCCTCGCCTGGGCCGGGCGGGCATGACAGGTCTGGAGCCAGCGGCCGCCCTCGGACTGCCCTCCCCATTGTCGCTGCCCGAGCCCGAGTCTGACCCAGCAGCGGGCTGGGGATGCAGGGGGAGGCACCTTTCGGGCTCAGCTTCAGCTCCGCTGAAGGGTTCTGAGTCCACGGTGGCCCGGGCCGCATTCAAGAGCATGCCCAGCCCACTAGCGTTCACTGGGTCTGGGCAGAGCAGCACGGCTGGTAACAGCCCTAGGCGGCCGCGGTACCTGCGGGAACAGGGGGCTCTTTATGCGCATGTACACACGGGCTTGGGGAGGGTGGGGCGACACTCTCTCTTCTCCTTCCCATGCCCGTATGAGTCCAGCCTGCATCCCTACACACCTGCACTGCCACCAGCCGCACTCGGACTGCTTTAGCACAGTGACGCGGGCCCCCGCAGGTACAGACAGCTCGTCCTCCCGGCTGCTTTCGTAAGCTCCGGTGGTACAGAACGGCAGCCCTGGAATGGGGTGCAAAGGGGCCATTCCCGTCATCTCCCACCAGCGTGCTTGATCAAGGGTTCTATTTCTTTCTGCGGTAGCCTTGGGTCACAGGATTCCCCGTGAATATCGGGAGACTTCTGTAAGTCACTGACCGGGAGGATGTCTCATCTTCTCCTAGAACAAGCTAGGGATCCAGGGTCATAGGGTTCAGAGCTGCGAAGAGCCCTAAAAACCATCAGTTTTACAAATGGGGAAACTGAAATACTAGGGAAGTGTCTACAGCTAATAAACAGCTGAGCACAGATTCCAGCACGAGGTTGACACTCATAGCAGCAGCGTCCTCTCCTCACTCCCTTTGTTGAATCACAGAAATGATGGGGCTGGACTAAGCATACTGGGCACTTACCATTGCAGGGTATCTGGGGCATCTTCTCCCATCCCTCTTTTGGAGATGTCTCCTCAAGGTAGGGTGCAGGAAACCAAGCTATCTGCTTGTCCTCATTCTCCACCAGCCACCAGCCTGGGAAGTGGGGAAGGGACATTGTACAGGGATGTAGACAACCCCACCCCTAAAACTCAGCAAGTTAGAGGGAATAGATTTTAATGACATGGGGTAGGAAGGAAATATGGAGATAGCCGCTTATTGGTACTGACATGTATCCATGGGCACACAGGACATACCCTCCCTATCATACGAATTCCCAACATTTGGAGGATCTTGCTCCATTGTCAGGGATTAAAGAACCTGTCCTTCCCCCTTGTGTCCCCATCTAAGGGTTCCCATTCCTTCCCCAAGGCTCAGATTCATGCCCCTGGGTACTCCAGGGATAAAAATACATTTCCCATGAATGTCCCTATCCCCCCAAGCTAATACTTCCATTTACCCAGGGTTCCCATCCTCTTTCCCCCCAAAAAAGCCTAAAACTTCTATCCCTCAGTGTCCCTGTTTCCTGGGGCTAAGACCGTCATCTCTTTAGGATCTCCACCAACATAAAGTCTCCTCCTCCCCAACCTCAGGATCCAGGGCTTTCGTCTTTATGTCCGTCCCCCTACCCCAGTTCCCAAAGCCCTCCCACCTGTGGGTTCTTTAAGCAACACATCTAACTCTTCTCCAGCTCCAGCCTTAAAGGGCCTGCCCCTGGTGTCCTGAGTGCTGAAGTTATCAAGGCACCGGAAAGTCTGGGCTTCCAGGGTGTGGATGTCTGGTTCTAGAGCCAGGGGCTTCTTTGCACTCTGTGCTGGCTTCTCCCAAGGGGAAGGCACGATCACCAGGCTTTGAGGAAAGATCCGAGATAAGCAGGGTAAGACAGATGGGATGGGTTAGCTTTAACCTTCTGGAGTTGGCTTTTCTAGACCCAGTACCAGATTTTCTGCCTACCCCCAGGCTATCTCCAAGTGGATCTTCCATCTCAGCTCCTCCCTCTGTTATACTTAGCCTGGCATTTGGGCTTCCCACCTAGCATCATGTCATTTTCATTCCTCACCGTCCTCAAGTATGTCAGGTTCATTTCTACGTCCAGACCTTTGCTCAGGCTGTGGCTCCTATCTGGAATGCCTTCCTGCTACACCTCTCATTTCCCTTAGCCTGGCCCTACCCATTCCTCAGAAATTAGCCCAAGTCCACCTCCCAGTCATTCCCTACTTCCTCCCTACTACCTTTCCCCAGACTGGTGCAAATATTAGAAGAGTTGTTCAGTGGAATAGGGTAGGGAACAAGTCAGGGACTTGTGATTTCATTGACATAAAGGGGAACCCTGCTACCAATAGAAGTCAGCAGCTTATGGTGTTAGAGAGTCTTACCCAGTATCTGTCCGGGGCAGGACTTGAACCCAGGCCTTCCAAGTTTCAAAGCTAGCTCTCTATCCACTGTACCACACTGTCCCCAAGCTAGACTTGTTCTGCTTGGCCCCATATGGTAGAGCTTGGTTGGGCCAAGGTATGAGGGTGGGAGAGTCCTTACTAGGAAGTGAATTCCCACCAACTATAAGGAAGAACTTAACAGGATTGCTTAGACATGGAACAGGAGGTAATGAGTGTCCTGTCACTGGGAGCCTTGTCAAGCAGAGGCTGTACGGTTATGTACAGAATGTAGAGGGAATTCCTACACTGAGACTTAGAATTGGAACGAATTCTGAGGCCTTTCTTTTAAATCCCATCTCTTCCAAGAAACCTGATCTGCCCATACAGATCTTTCTCTCCCTTCTCTCAGCTTCCCCAGCTAATGCCCTTTTCTGCATCCTCTCTATATGAGTCTGCTTCTCCCAATCAGATTATGAGCTCCCCAACCTCCAAACCTTCACAGGGTGGGCAATGAAAGCTTGATCTGATTAGGAAGACTGAGCATATGGAGACTCCAAATACCTGTTCTGGGGCAGGACAGGCTCCAGGTCCCCAGGCTGGGGCTGGAAAAAGCCAGTGACCACTTTACTTCGAGACACTGTCTCTGTGGCCCCCAGAAGTTTCTGAGAATAAGCTTCCAGCAGCCGTAACCTGGCCAGTCCCCTCCGTGTCCTTCCACCGGGGAGAAGTACTGAGGCATCTACAGGAAGAGCAGGGATCCTTGTGAAACCCCAAGCCTGCCACTCCCCTCAGCCCTGAGCCCCAGATTCCCTTCTTCATTCCCATGCTCCCTTATCCGTGAGATCCCACACCCTGAGGTTCCAGGACTCTTTCTCAGGCTGACTCAGTGCCTAGAGGTCTGCTTGGCCCCAGAATTCCCCCACCCACCTGCCCCCTCCCTATCACCAGTCCCCTAACCTTGAAACTTGGGGAGGACACAGTCTGAACTCTTCAGCAAACCTGCCTCCAAGGGAAAAGTTTTCTTCAGCCTTTTCTGGGAAGATAGATTCAGGGTCATGCTGTGGCTTTAAATAAGGGAGTTAGGTGATGAAGGAGTAACATATGGGCTGGGAGGGAGCCCCTAGGTTCAAGGGAGTCATTAGGTAGCCCCCAGAATGCAGCCTGATTATACATCCCAGGATCAGGAGGGTGAAGGGGTTGATTTTTGAGGGTCCCACAGGGCTGTGGCTGGGATGGTGTCTCACATGGAATTGGCGGAACTCCTGGAAGGTCCTGTAGATGAGGCTGTCGCTGCCGTCGGACCAAAGCACGGAGAAGATGAACAGCTAGGGGCCAGGAGGGTGAAGGGAAGGGATTCAGTAGATTCTGGCATTACCCCGGCCCAATCTTCCTTTGTCTAGCTCAAGAAATATCCCTCCTGCCCTATAACAGGCCTGGGTACAGAGGGCTGACTCCCACCCAATTTTGCACCCACCCAAATAGCCTCATTTTCTACCACATACCCAAACATTCTATCCCTAGCCCAAACCTGGAGAGGAGAAAGAAGCCATGATAGAGAAAAGGAGGAGACAGAGTTGGGGGGCATAGATGGGGGAAGAAAAAGAGATACAGATCACGGAGGAGTCGAAGGGACTGTGGGAGACAAGGTGCTGAAGATGATGAGAAAGGAGTCAGTACAATAGGTGAAACAGAGATGGGCGTAACAAAGAGAGACAGAAGGCAGAGAGAGTGAAGGATGAGAAAAGGGGGAGATACACCTGGGGAGATACGAAGAGCCAAGCTTGGGGAGAAAGTGGAAGGGAGAGTCCAAGGAATGAGAAAAAGGATGAATATGAGAATGGATCAGAGAAGTCAGGAGACAGATGTGAAGATGAAGGGACAGGGGAGACAGGAATGAAGGGAGACCAGGATACTGAAAAACAGAAGAATGAGGAGCCCTGGTTGGGGGAGTAGAGAAGAAACAGAGGAACCGGAGAATAAACATCTAAGGGAAACGAAAACTGGTATGACAGGGATAGGTATCAGCAAACTAGCTGAGCATTACCTGAGGACGCCTGCCCAGCACAAATCCCACCCCTCGAACTGACTCTGCCTGCCGGGTACCAGTCATCCTGTTCTGTGTGATTCCCTATGCCCTCATCACCTTCTTAAACAGATGGCGAGAGAGGGTGTGGCCAGATCCAGGAGTACACCTCCTGGCAGGCTGCCAGGCAGCTTCCAATTTGATTGTCTCCTCCCTGTTACCAGGAAGATCTACCTGGGGCTGGAGGTGTAAATTCCCCAGGAGGAGTCTCAGTATACCTTCCTCCTGACCTCTCCTGTGAGGTCAGAGCCTCAGAGGCAGGGGGCTGTTTTAGGTGTGGTTTGGCTGGAGACAAGTCCCCTCTCTCAGTTTTCCGACACCAGGGCCAAGGACAGCTGTGGTAGAGTAGAAAGAATGCTGGAACATAAAGAGTTATACCATTTAAAGGTAAAAGGCAGGTAGGAAGATACTATCACTCACAACAATGAATTTTTAACCCTCTAGGACATAGAGAATGCTCTACATGGTAAAATAGACTACTTAGATGACATTAAATGTTTGCTTTTACACACACACACACACACACACACACACACACACACTTCGTTCCAGAACTTATGCCCTGAAGAACTTAATCTTTTCAGCTTCATGTGTGCCCAACCATGTCAAGCTGGCTCTGGCCATGCTATACTTTACTCTCCCACCGTCTCCTTGCTACTTCTGTACCCCACCCCTCTTTAGTCCTAGGATCAAATCAAATCTGCCATTGCTACTGGACGTTATTGTCGCTGAGTTGTTTCAGTCATATCTAACTCTCTGTGGCCCCATTTGGAGTTTTCTTGGCAAAGATACTGGAGTGTTTTGCCATTTCTTTCTCCAGCTTATTTTACAGATGAGGACACTGAGGCAGAGTTACGTGTCTTTCCCAGGGTCATGCAGCTAGTAAGCGTCTGAGGTCAGATTTGAACTCAGGTCCTACTGACTCCAGGACTAGCAACTCTATCCACCGTGCCACCCCGCTTCCCATTGCTACTGGAAAGCGTATGTTAGTCTACTGCCCTGTGGCTGCACTACGATTCCAGTTACTTTCCCAGACTAAAATAGCAACCCTGTGGCCATCTTTCCTCTGTACATGCTGCCTCCACCATTAGAATGTAAGCTCTGACTGATGCTGAGTGAAGTGAGCAGAGCCAGGAGAACATTGTACACAGTAACAGCAACACTGTGTGATGACTAACTTTGATAGACGTAGCTCTTCTCAGCAATGCAACGATCTAAGACAATTCTAGAAGAACAAAGATGGAAAATGCTATTTATATCCAGAAAAAGAACTATGTAGTCTGAATACAGATCCAAGCATACTATATTCTCTCTTTTTTTGTTTGTTTGTTTTTTCTTTCTCATGGTTTTTCCCTTTGGTTCTAATTCTTCTTTATAACATGACTAATGTGGAAATATGTTTACTATAATTGAACGTGTATAGCCTATATCAAATTATATGCTGTCTTAGAGAGGAAGGAAAGGAGGGAGGGAGGGGGAAAATTTAGAACTCAAAATCCTATAAAAGTGAGTGTTGAAAACAAAAAACAAACAAATAAATAAATAGAATGTAAGCTCCTGGATGGCAGGGACTATGTTTACTTTCACACCCCCAGTGCTTAGCTTACAGGAGATAGGGACTGTATCTGTGACATCATTGGTATAGTGAACTCCCCAGTGAGGAAGCTCTTTCTGCCAATGAAGGTCAGCACCTTTGCTGCAATTCATAGCCTTAGAGAGCTCTAGAGTACTAAGAGGTTGACTAAGGTAGTGACTTACCCAGAATCACACAGCCAGTATGTGCCAGAGATGGGTCTTGAACTCAGGTCTGCCTGGTATCTACTACAGCTCTCTATCCACTATTCTACAATGAAGTTAATAAACACTCTTCCATTTATTCAAAAAAATTTTTAAACCTTTTCACAAATTAAATAAATGCTATAGACTAAGAATAACAAGAAAAGCTAGAGAATGGTAGAAAATATTTGTGCAAAACATATCTGATTAAAAAGTCAGATACAAAATTTGAAAGGCACTGGCGAAAATATCTCTAGGGTTAGGAACTATTCCCCACACCCATCAAATTGGCAAAGATAGTAAAAGATGAAAAAATCCATGATATGGAAAAAGAGGCAAAATTAGTGTTGGTAGAGCTATGAATGGGTTGAGACCCATTTGGAGAGACAGTTTGAAATTATGCTGAGAAAAGTTTCAACATTTTTTTATACCTTTTGATCTCACTTTTGGTTTATAACTCAATGAGATTATTTGACAAAAAGGAAAAAAACTCTATATGAAAATATTCACAGCAGCACTATTTGTAATAACCACAAACAAGAAATAGGCCATTGGAGAAATGGCTGAAAAAAACGATGATAGATTAATGTGACTGAATATTACCATTGCGTAAGGGATAATGAGTGTGAAAGAAAGATGGAAAGACCTGTAAAAAGAGGTGATAGACTCCAGTGCAGATTGAGGCCTATTTGGGGGGGGGAGGGTTGGACATGGCTAATGAAGGAATTTGTTTTGTTTCCCTATACGTATTTATAACAAGGGTTTTATTTTTCTTGTTTTCTCAGTGGTGGAGGGAAGGCAAGAATGAGAGAAGGCTGATTTTGTTTGAAAGCAAAATAAAATTTAAAAACTTTTTTTTTCAAAATAAGATGAGGCAGAGTGAAAACAGAAATATCCAAAAGAATAATATGCAGAATTACTACAACTTGAAATGGCAACAAAATGTTGGACAGTGTTAGTACTAATTTATAAAACATACACCATCCTTTCTTTTAAAGAATGGCAAAGTACTGAAATATAAGCTTGCATTAACTCTCAGTTACAAGCACTCTTTTATGTTGTTTTAATTATTTAGGGATGAGGTGGGGATTGTACATTGAGGGGAATTCAACTGAGACCATGCTGGGGTGTTTCTATGATGGATTCAAGCAAAATTTATCAATAAAAATCACTTATCAATTAAAAAAAACCAAACTCAATTTGATGTCAGAGAACCTGAGTTCAATTTTCACTGAGCTGCTTACTACATATATGATCTTGAAGTTACAAGTTTTTACCCTTCTACTTGGCATAACGTGCTAAATAAATAATTTGTTCCATTCTAATAATAAATGCTTCTTGGTTTTTAATTACTTTTAGTTCCCTCTTCTGGAAGAAAAATCAGAATAGAAAAGATGACGCATCTTCCAAAGAGCCAGTTTCACAACTGCAGAATCATCCTTGACTCTTCTCTCCATATCTAATCTGTGGACAAGAATAATCAATTCTACCATCCTGTCTCAAATTCCCTCCCTCCTCCCCATCACTCCTTCCCTTCCTTCCACTTACCTGGCCACCCTTCGGCTAATGCCTTCATCCCTTTTCCTGGACTATTCCAAAACTTCCTAATCAGCTCTCTTGCTTCCAGCATCTGACCTTTCCAAACTATCCCTCCATGGGGCTGCCAAAGTCATCTTCTAACGTGGAGGTACGTCATTTGAAAATCATTCAGTGGCTCTTCAGCCTCAGCCATAAACTACAAACTCCTCAGCCTGGTATTTAAGCCTCTCTCAGCCAGGTTCCAGCCTATGTTTCCAGACTTATTTCACATTACTGCATTTCAGATGCTCGGAGGTCCGGTTGGACTGGCCCAGTTGCTGTTCTCTGAATCTCCTCCTGTCTGTGCATCTTTGCATAAGCTGTCTGCCATGCTTCTTCACCTCCATTTCTTAGACTAGGGGCGGGGAACCTGTGGCCTCGAGGCCCTCTAGGTCCTCAAGTGTGGCCCTTTGACTCCAAACACCTTTGTCTTAGACTCTTTACCTTCTTTCAAGGCTCATATCAAGTGCCATCCCTTAAGCTAAGCTTTTTCTCATCTACCTAAGTTGCTAATGAGCTCTCTCTCCTCAAATTATTTTCAATTTACTCATCTATTTACATACGGTACAACCCCTCCCCAGTAGAATTAAGCTCCTTAAAGTCAGGAACTGATTTTCCTTTTACTGTTGTTTTGGTATCTCCTGCTCCTTGCAAATAGTAGGTGCTTAATAAATGTTTATTGAATTTAATTGAATCGAATTATTCTCTAAAGTCTAAATCTATATTTCAAGGAGCCCCGCAGAAATGGTTCTGAATTATTTAGTTTAGGAAGGAAAGGGAGATCGGACTCATGGTGCCATATACATGCCTATGAGATTAGGCTATCTATCTTTCCTCCAGCCCTAACTCCTTTCTTCCCTACACTTTGGCCCATGGCCCTCACTTCTAGGGAGCCTCACCTGGCTCATTCCACTCTCATACAATCTCAGTCTTGAATACAGTCAACTCCAGAGTAGACATAGGAAGGGCCAGGGGGATCAGACACAGCGAGACCAGGGGCTTCTCCCACTAGGGACAGCAGGATTACTTTTAAATCTCTCTAACTCCATAAAGTCTGGCAGGCAACAGGCAGTCTCCAGGGATCCTACTTTATAAACAGACTTCTAGGATGGGGGTAAATAAAGGAGTCGTGATGATGGCTGGCCCACAAGAACATTAGCTCAGTCCTTGTGAATTTGTGTGAAGTAGGGCCTGCTTTCAATCCAGGAATGTTTCAATGTTTCCATATAATAACAATAATAAAAATATACAAGTTGTGGCTGTATATGTCAAGAGTTTAACTAGCATTTTGAAGTCAAAGCACAGTGGCAAGAACATAATTAGAGTAATTAACACATTTGCAATATATTAATATCCCAACATACATTTTTGAAACAAACAGTATATATGCAGTAGAATTAGTCATACAAAAACCCATTACAATATTAGTGAAACACATAATCATAGCCTATCACCAAAAGGTAGTGTAACATGGGTTTTATAGGACATATGCCCATCTTCTCTTCCTGCTTCTGGATGATCATGTGAGGCCTGCTTCTGGTCATTTGTCACCAGGGGTTTGCACTGTGATATGATGAGTAGTGCCCTAATTGGCTGCATAGACAGAAGAGCTGAATGCTCAGTACATAGACAAAAGGGACGATCTACCCCTCAGCACCTCTCTTCATTTCTGG